CGACTGAGACACCCAGGCACCCCCTGAGAGTTTTATTTTTAGGTTTAACATTACTTGGTGGCCCCAAAGGGTATCCAGAGAAGACACACCCTCCCCGCCACAACTCCAAGGCTAGTGAGCAAATAGGTATCTATATGCACAGAGCCCATTGGGCTCACTGCTTTCTTGCAGACCCTGAGATTTTGAAAGTAAGTTTTCTCCTGGTTTGCTAGCTGGATGCTTTGTGTCTGAGCTCTCCAGAATTTATTCAGGATCTATTTAAGGCCTTGTTTGTTTGTTGTTGTTTTTAAATCTCTGGCAGTACTCATTTGTCCTGGTGGAACTGTGCTGACCTTTAGTCTCAGTCCTGTTTGGAACCAGACTGTTCCTGTTGGAACTGGTGCCAGTTTGAAATGTGTAGGACTTTGGACAAACTCTATTTTGGGATGGGACTGTTCTGGTTGGAACTGTTCATTTTGGAACTGTGCTGGCCTTTGTTCCAATTCCTCTGGAACTGGGCCTTTCCTACTGGAATTGTGCTGACCTTTGGCCTGATCCTTCTGGAACCAGGCTGTACCTCTCAAAAGTGTGCTGTTGAGGAATTGTCTCTTTGCTCTAGAGAAAAACCTCTAAGAAATGGGATTCCAGTTATCAAAATGCTTTGAGAGTGCTCCTCCTTTCTGAGACTCTGGCTGGTTTTATGTTTAAAAACTATGGTTCCTCCACATGCACGTTCATAAGTCAGTGGACTGACTTAACCAAAGAAATTTAAAACTTTAATGAACATTATCTTGAGCTTTTGATCTCCCCAAACTTGCTTCCTCAATTAAATCAGAAAGCTGCAGTTCCTAAAAAGAAATAAATTTTTTTAAAGGGCAAAAAGGAGGAAAAGAAGAAACGGAATGCCTATTTTAAGTGGTACCTGAGGCTTCCAGATGTTTTCAGGATTCTAAGTTTGTCTCTGCAAAAGACTATTTCTAAATTAACTGAGGAAAACCATTGAAAGAAGCCAAAATGGCTTCCGAGGTCTCTTTTTCCCTTCCCTCATTTTCTTTGATACCTGCAGATACATGGTGGCCACCTTATGCTCAGTCCCTGCATCTGGCTCCATTTTCCTCTATTCTATCTGCTGAACTTTCCTTTTCCTCTGAATCTTTCCCCTCTTGCTCCTCTCTTGAACCTATTGAAACCTACCTTTTCAAAGTTAAGTCTTCTGAGGATCTAAATAAACCTCAAATCATGTTGCCTGGATTAGGTACAAATTGTGAGCCATAAAGAATTTCCTAAAGTGACTGAGGACGCCCATAAGTTTGCCAAAGAATTTAACATAGCTATTCAAACTTATCAGCCTGGTTTGTCAGGTTTCTATCAATAGTCGACATGTTTGTTGGTGAGGACCAAGCCAAACATTGGATGAAACTAGCCACAGTGGGTCATCCCGAAGGGGATTTGGAGAAACAAACCACTAACTTTTGTCAAGATGCTAGAACACTCGCTGGAAATCTCCACCGAGCAGTTACAGTAACTTTTCCCAAGTATACTGATTGGAACAAAATTCAGCCTTACATACAAAAGCTTGAAACTGTTCATGACTATTACAATGAATTCCAAATTGTCTTTTAAGAATATTCCGGTCTGGGCACCTGGGAGGCTTGTTAGTTAAATGTCTGCCTTTGGCTCAGATCATAATCTCAGGGGCCTGGGATCGAGTCCTGAGTCCAGCTCCCTGCTCTGCAGGGAGTCTGCTTCTCCCTCTGCCCCTTCTCCCACTCTCTCTCAAATAAATAAAATCTTTTTTTAAAATTTATTTTATTTATTTTTTTTGAAGATTTTATTTATTTATTTGACAGAGAGGGACACAGCGAGAGAGGGAACACAAGCAGGGGGACTGGGAGAGGAAGAAGCAGGCTTCCCACGGAGCAGGGAGCCCGATGCGGGGCTCAATCCTAGGACCCTGGGACCATGACCTGAGCCCAAGGCAGATGCTTAATGACTGAGCCACTCAGGTGCCCCCAAATCTTTTTTTTTTTTTTTAAGAATATTCTGGTCTTCCTTTATATGTTGAATCCACTGGATGGCATTTAACTCTACGTTTATTAACAGGCTGAACTGGGCTCTTTCTCTTTTAGTTAAAAGGAACAGGACAGAATGGGAAACTGCCTACTCCAGATTTAGTTAATATGGCAAACCAGCTTGCTTGCATCCTAGGTGAGTCACCTAAAAGAAAGACTGCTACGATTCTCAATTTTCAACTCTGGCAAATGAAGGCCCTTAAACAAAACCAAAAACTTTCAAGTTTCTGTTATTATTGCAAAGAGCCAGACATTCAAGATAATGTTCTTATTAAAAAGAAAGATTGTTACAGGCGCCTGGGTGGCTCAGTCGTTAAGCGTCTGCCTTTGGCTCAGGTCATGATCCCAGGGTCCTGGCATCAAGCCCGGCATCAGGCTCCCTGCTCAGCGGGAAGCCTGCTTCTCCCTCTCCCACTCCCCCTGCTTGTGTTCCCTCTCTGTCAGATAAATAAAATCTTTTTTTTAAAAAAAGAAAGATTGTTACAACTTTAAGTGCTCCAGGCACCTTCTGTCCTCCACCTTCTGTCAGTCTTTCCAATGTCTTCTTAATTCCCAGTGACCGGGGCTCTGAGGAACTACAAGGCTCATCTCAATCTTCCCTCTTAATTGGCCTAGAGAAACCATTCTCCAGATTGGGACTGAATCTTTGTCCTTATTGACACCAGAGCTATAGCCTCGGTGCTTAATCCCACTGCTATAAAAGCAGCCCCTGCCTTGGAGTCCTAAAACAGCTCAAATAGTGGAGATCTCTGATAAACTTCAACAAGTTCCTGTCTCTGAACCTAATCCCTTTTGTCTAGGTCCTTTGAGAGCTCTGATCCTTTTTCTCCTTCGTTACTCTGCCCCTATTCATTTATTGGGCTGATATTTCTTAGAAAAGTATCATGCCAGAATTTCTCCCAGTTGGGGGGAAATAATTCTAGAATTTGACAGTAGTAATCAAAATAGTCAATTTGGGGGATTAAATGATTGTTTGACATCTTTTATTTGTTCTGTCTCTGATGCCACTATAGGGTGAGCCCAGGGACACTGATCATTTGTTCCTATTGGATCAGCTATTATCCTCTTTATGGGCAAAAGTCTCAACTGATGTTGGCGGAATCCACACTGCACCTCCCATCAAGATTCAAATAGATCCCTCAAAACCTCTTTCCATAATTAATGCCCTATAAATAAAGAAGCCCTTCAGGGCATCAAGCCCATAATAGAAGATTACAAGGCTCAGGGCCTCATTATCCCCTGCACTAGTTCCTGTAACAATCCTATTTTACCTGTGAGAAAACCCAATGGCCAAGGATGGAGGTTTGTTCAGAACCTCTGAACAATAAATAATACTGTCATCCCTCAGCACCCTGTTTTTCCTAACCCCCATGTGCTGTTAACATCCATTCCCACTGAAAGCAAATTTTTCACTGTAACTGATCTATCATTGCATTTTTAGTATTCCAAATGATAAGGATAGCCAATATCTTTTTGCCTTCACTCGGGAGGAATGGCAATACACCTTGATAGGTGTACATCTGTCCCAGGGTTTTACAGAGAGTCCTTACTTTTCACAAACTTTAAAAGCTCATTTGGATGATATAAGGTTTTCTTTTTTTTTTTTTTTAATATTCTATCTATTCATTTGAAACAGAGAGATACAGAGAGAGAGAGAGAGCATGAGCAGGGGAGAGGCAGAGGGCGAGGGAGAAGCAGGCTCCTCGCCGAGTCAGGAGCCAGATGTGGGGCTTGATCCCGGGACCCTGGGATCACGACCCGAGCCGAAGGCAGACGCTCAACCATCTGAGCCACCCAGGTGCCCCAATATAAAGTTTTCTGCAGGCTCTACCTTGTTATAATACATAGATGATTTGCCTCTCTGCTCCCTTACTCAAACCTCTTCACAGGGGACAGCATCCACCTGTTAACACTTTTGGCCTTGGACCCCGCCAGAGCCACCTCTGCCAGCAACATGTTTAAGGCAATTCAGGTCTGTGGGGCCAGCCATTCTGAGTCTGCTCACCTTGAGTCTATGCATCATCTAAAAAGGACTCACCTCACACAACTTCCGTGAGGGTTAATGAGCTTTCATTCTAGTCCGTTCCCGAGGGTCAATCTAAATATGTGGGGGAGCCAAGGACCCAACTTGATGAAAGCATCTCACACCTCCAACATTACTGTGAGCCATATACAAGTTGGTGTCAAGAAATGCACTCACAAACTAAGCCCAAGATGCTGAGCTTGGTTCAATAGGAGTTAGCTATGAATATCTCCAAAATGTACCTCCTGGATTTTTTCCCAAGACTTGGTGTTATTGGTTTTGCTGGCATTGTTGGACTTCTTTTGGCTAGAGGTTCAAGAATAAGGAAGCTGGTGTATCCCCCTGGGTTCATGGGAGTAGCTGCCTCTGTTTATTATGCACAACAACCCATCGTATTTGTCCAGGTCAGTAGGGAGAAATTATATGACTGGGGTTTACAAGGATACAAAGTCATAGATTTGTGGAAGAAGAACTTTCAAAAGCCAGGAAGTGTGAAGAATTCACCTGGAAATTAATAGAATGCTCCATGCTCTGCTCATTTTTTTTCATGGAGCCTAATGCGGGGCTTGAACTCATGACACTGAGATCAAGACCTGAGCTGAGATCAAGAGTCGGATGCCCATGGGACACCTGGGTGGCTCAGTTGGTTAAGTGTCTGCCTTTGGCTCAGGTCATGATCCCGGGGTCCTGGGATCGAGTCCCCTATCAGGCTCCTTGCTCAGTGGGAAGCCTGCTTCTCCCTCTGCCTGCCGCATCCCCTGCTTGTGCTCTCTCTCTCTGATAAATAAATAAAAATCTTAAAAAAAAGAAAAAGAGTCGGACGCCTAACCAACTGAGTCACCCAGGCATCCCTGCTGTGCCCATTTTAATCAGTTACAGGTAAATATTGGAAACTCCATGCAGTAAACCAATATTTCTACAGAAAAATGGCAGAGAAGTCAGTACTGAATGTAGTAAATTGGCTTTCTTCTTCAGGTAAAACTATACTAGGCTTCTTTGTTATCTTGGGTGATGCCATACTACAAGTGGACTATTCGAAAATCCTTTCACCTAGAGATAATGTCCAGCCTTAGCATCCCTCCTTCTCATGTTGCTATTTATGTACATAATTAAAATTCCAAGGTAAAAAAAAAAAAACAAAAAAAAAACTTTTGGTCTTAAAGGGACATAAAGTCTCCAAAGAAAAATTAGTTCGTTCAAGCTCAGGTTAGATACTTAGGGCATCCGATCTCAGAATAAGGGCTACAACTGGACCTAGGTGAAACCCCTCATAACTGCTTGACATTGACAGATTACCTTTTGACTCTCCATGACACTACAGGAAACTCGTGACCAATGCAGATTTTTCGTGGTTTACTGATGCTTCTTACTTAAAGGATAAAAATGGTAAATATTGTGCTAGGTATGCTACTGCATATTTCCTTTTCAAAGTCATTGAAATAGCACCTTTACATTTTGGTTACTTCAGCCTAATAGGCTGAATTATACCCTCACAAGAGTTTGTACCTTAGCCAAAGATAAAACTGCAAACATTTATACTGATAGTTGGTATGCTTTTGGGGCAGCTCGTGACTTTGGAATGTTATGGAAACAATGAGACTGCCTTAGCTCCAATGGGGATGAACTTTAAAATGGCTTCTATGCCCCAGATTTATTAGATTGCCATACTTTTGCAGGCGGCTCTAGCTGTCGTTAAGGTTCCTGGGCATTCCAGACTTGACTTTCTGGAAGCCAAAGTAAACCACCTCACTGACATCTCCTCCAAAATTGCTACTCTCAAGGAAACCAGTAGCCAAACCTCTGGTCTAAGGGGATATTCTGCCATATGATTTTGGAAAAATTGACTAAAAGACACCCAAGAATTTGCCCCAGAGACGAAAAAACAACATTGGAAATCTAGTAATTGTTGGCTTGATAAAAAAGAGAGAACTCTGGTCTGTGCCAAACAACAATCCAGCCCTACCAGAAATTCTAAAATTTCCACTGTATATGCATCAAACCATTGGTCTTTTGAGGAAACGATGGCATTCATGAACTAGTGTTGGTGGGAAAAGTTTAATAAGTCTGCAAAAAGTGCCTCTATCATCTGTCCCACCTATCCAAAGTATAATTCAGGGAAAGTTGAGTCTCTCCCCTCAACTCCATGCGCAACGTCGTATCCCGGAAGTGAAGGGGCCATGTTGCTGGGTGACCCCGGGAGAAGTAGCGGGCGAAAGGCGAATCTCGAGGAGTGGTAGTGCGCGTGCGTGCGCGCACGCGCGCGCACGCAGTCCGTGGCTTGACGCCCAGCCCCTGCCTGTCCCCCATACCCCAGCGGAGCTGAGGGGTGGTGCTCAGTCTTTACTGTGCCCTGCTGCGCCAGGGTCTAGAGCTTCGCTACACTGATGGAGACTTCTGTCTTGCCTCCATCTCCCGTGAGCGAGAGCAGGCTCTGGTGAGCACAAAGGCAAGAAGGATGACAATGGCATTGGCACAGCCGTTGATTTTGTGCTCTCCAAGTGACCGGCTGGTGCTAGGGGTGGGTGGAGCGGCCATGTTGGCAGTTAAGCAGATGTACAATAGGGCAATCGGTAACCCTAAGCCCCACCCGCCTAAGCCATTGGAGGTGGGGAAGGAGCTGGAAGAACGGAACTGGATGGGCTTCCCCTCTCCCCCCTCGGCCCCCCATTGCTGAATAAGGACACGAAGACAGGCCTGAGCCGGTCCCTGCAGACCCTTCCCACAGACTCCTCAGCCTTTGACACGGATACATTCTTCCCGCCCCAGCCCAAGCCATTGGCCAGGAAGGGCCAGGTAGACTTGAAGAAGTCACGACTCTGCGTGTCCCTGGAGGAGAAACTTCTTAATGTGATCCGACCAGCACCACCCCCAGAAGCCCTGACTTTGGAAGTGCAGTATGAGCGTGACAGGGATCTTGTCGTTGACTTCCTGCCATCAGGGACTCTTGGCGACACTGTCTTGGTAGCCAGACCACACCAGCTAGCACAGTATGGCAACCTCTGGCGGCTGAGCCAGGGTCCTGCAGAGACGGCACACCTACGGGCTTTGGACCAGGACGATTTAGGCTGCCAGTCTCTGTGCCTCAAGATCCTCAAGGCCATATGCAAGTCCACTCGGGCTCTGGGCCACCTCACTGCCAGCCAGCTCACCAACATCACCTTCCCCTTGGCCCAGGAGGAGGCTGACTGTCCAGATATGCTGGCAGACCGATTCTTATAGGCCCTGAGGGGACTCATCAGCTACTTGGAGGCCAGAGTCCTGCCCAGTGCCCTAAACCCCAAGGTGAACTTATTTGCAGAGCTCACTCCTGAAGGTATAGATGAAGTGGGATGTACTCTCTATTGCTCACTGTCTGAGCCAGAGGTGCTGCTGCAGACAGGGCAGGTGAAGGTGGTCAGACCCTGGCTTCTCCGTTAGAAACACGTGGTTGCATAGTTGGTGCCTCACAGGGTCCCTAGGTGCCTCCTATTTTGCTGGTCATTGCCCCGGTCACTTCATGCTCATCAGAATGCCATCTCCTGTCTCCTATTTTCTCACCCAACCTTCAATTTTTGTCACCAAACACTGTGCTCCTACTCCTCCCCTCCCCCTTGCTCCAGGCTAATATTTCTGGAATGAATAGAGAAGGTGGAGCACTGGCCTGAGCTGGTGTTTTGCATTGTGGTCCAGGTTTTCTGTTCCTGTCTGCCCTGCCCTTTGGCCTGTTTCTTTTCAGTGTCTTCTCTGTCTTTTCCCCTTGTTCACGCCTTCTGTTTTGCTCTTTCCCCTGGAGTGTATCTGCCTAGTCAAGATGTTGCCTTTTCGTTAAAGAGTTCTGATTGCACGTTTCCGAGCCGAGCAGAGTGAGTGCTCAGACAGTATTTAGAGTTTCCAGGGGTAAAGCTAACTTTTGACCAGATTCCTGGAGAAGAAGCCCATTTTCCCCTGCCTCCTGACCAGCTCATATTCCTAAGTGCTAAGAAGGTCTCATGGGAACACTGTTATTGACCCATACAGGGGTAAGGCTCAGTATAAACTGGATGCCAAGTTGCTTGGAGATTGTGTTCTTTGGTGGTCCCCACTGAGACTGCAGTGGGGGAGCTGGTGGTGGTGAAGAGGGCCTAGGGAAGGGTGTGTGTGCCCCATGGCTGAGCCATCAGCGCTGCTGCAGGGGAGGGAAGGGGCTGTCGGGACAGCACCTGTGCGAGTGCTCTTGTTCAGCCCCTTCCTTGCCTTATTGCCAACTAGGACGAGGCCTTCAAGGACACAGCCTTTGTGGTAGAGTTTGAAGGGAGGTTGAGAAGTGGCAAACACCGGCTGAAAAATCCGGTCACCGGTTGAGGCTTGGCAACCACGTTTCTTCCCCACGAGGCCCTGCTTTCCAGGACGTTGCCTGAGCGTAGGAACAGGCCCACAGCCAGCCCTTCATTCCCCGGTGTCTGCCATAGGAACGTGAGGGGGCATTTGCTGAACTCTCCAAGCCCCGCCAGAGGCCAGAGGGCAAGCAGCTGGGGCGCCAACCTCTTTTCCGTCCTGTCTCACCTCGCAGCTGGGGAGACTGGTGCTATCCAGGAAGAGCACGCAGGGGTAAGACACATAGGAGAGGGAGGGCGCCTGGGTGGCTCAGTTGGTTAAGCGCCTGCCTTCGGCTCAGGTCATGATCCCGGAGTCCCGGGATGGAGTCCCACATCGTGCTCCCTGCTCAGCGGGGAGTCTGCTTCTTCCTCTGACCCTCCCCCCTCTCATGTGCTCTCTCTCTCATTCTCTCTCTCAAATAAATAAATAAAATCTTAAAAAAAAAAAAAGACACATAGGAGAGGGAGGCAGGGGCTTCCTATGCTCCTTCTGGTTTCCAGCTGCTAAAACCCCGCTGCGTATTGCAACGTCAAAAGTAGCCTGAGGGTGGGGAGGAGGGTCTCCTACACTACTACGTCAGTGCAAAAAAAAAAAAAAAAAAAATCAGGGAAAGTTGTTCATACAAATGGATTTCATACCGCTTCCCCATCTCATGGATATCAATATGTTTTAGTCAGGGTTTGCATGTTTTCTCACTGGAGTAAAGCTTTCTCTTGTGGACAGGCCACTGCTGCTTCTGTGAGAAAAGATTATCCCTACCTGAGGAACCCCTCTCTAACTTCAGAGTGATCAGGGAACCCATTTTACTGGTCAGGTGCTTCAAGTGTGCGCTGTTTGCTTTCACTGTGCATTATCATCCCTAGTCTTCAGTTAGTCACATGAACTAGTGTCACTATTAAGACTCAATTGGCGGGGCACCTGGGTGGCTCAGTTGGTTAAGCGACTGCCTTCAGCTCAGGTCATGATCCTGGAGTCCCGGGATCAAGTCCCGCATCGGGCTCCCTGCTCGGCGGGGGGTCTGCTTCTCCCTCTGATCCTCTTCCCTCTCGTGCTCTCTGTCTCTCATTCTCTCTCTCAAGTAAATAAATAAAATCTTTAAAAAAAAAAAAAAGACTCAATTGGCATGAGTTGTAGCAACCCTCCAAATACTTTGGCCAAAAGCACTGTCATTGGTACTGTCATTTTGTGAAGGCCTAATTGCTTCTATTAAAAATAACTGTGCTTTGGGGCACCTGGGTGGCTCAGTCGTTAAGCTTCTGCCTTCGGCTCAGGTTATGTTCCCGGGGTCCTGGGATCGAGCCCCGTGTTGGGCTCCCTGCTCCGCGGGAAGCCTGCTTCTCCCTCTCCCACTCCCCCTGCTTGTGTTCCCTCTTTCGCTGTGTCTCTCTCTGTCAAATAAATAAATAAAATCTTTTTTTAAAAAAAACTGTGCTTTGCTAGAGCAATTTTTTCACAGTGCACTCTTGGGAAATGATAACCTTAAGCATCACACCTTGCAACCTGGAGATTTCATATGTTGGAAAGGCACCTCCAGAAAGACTCTTCAACCTCGCTGAAAAGGCCCTTATCGGGAACTTCAAACCAACCCTTATGCTGCCAAACTCCAGGGAATAGACACTTAGATTCATGTGATGCATCTGAACAAAGCACCAAACCTTGACCTGCACACCATCTGGTGACCTGAAAGTAAAGATTTCCTGGAACTGAAGGAGATGACATCTGATGAGACAGCTTTCCCAAGATGACCAGACTACACCTGTATACCTTTTTCTCACTGTTGCTTCTCTCTTTTCTGTGGAAAGACAAAGCCCTTGTCTACATTTCCCAAGCCCTTGTGGAAGGAGGAAACCTCTTCTTTTGATTATGGCCTTTCAGAAACAAACTCATTATGATCCCAGGACAAGTTAATTTTCACTTGCTTTTTCTAAAGGGTTAGGAGGTTCAGCATTCACAAAAGTCTTTCTTTCCTCTGAACTATTAACTGACTTTGGATTCTTATCCAAATGCCTGGCCTCTGAATTTGCAAACTTACAGACTATATTATCAATAACACGTTTGGTTCCAAACAGTTCTTTGAGATAGCAATATTGTTTTATTTTTATTTTTTTAATTATAAAAGATCTTATTTATTTGGGAGAGAGAGAGAGAGAGAGCACGAGCAGGGGAGAGGGACAGAGGGAAAGGGAGAAGCAGGCTCCCCACTGAGTAGGGATCCCGACGCGGGGCTCCATCCCAGGATCCTGGGATCATGACCTGAGCCAAAGGCAGACGCTTAACCGACTGAGCCACCCAGGTGCTCCTAATAATACTGTTTTAAAATGTCTTTGAAGTTTTGCTGTTTTGCAAAAAGTTCATCAGGTGTTGCTTCATGTTTATACTTGCACTGTATCTTCCCAAATACACTCAGTTAATTTTTTCAGTGTGCTCTTGCAGTATTCACTATCCCGTGTTCATGGCCACTTTAAGCAGAGATGTCCAGGAGGCATACATGACTCTGGGTTTGCCTTCATAAAGAGAAACTTTCTCCTCTAAGTTGGAATAAGTGCCAATAGATATTTCAGCTGGCTACTTTCAGACCTAGTGTCTTGATGTAGAACCATCACACAGTTTGAAATTATGTTACTTCTGTTTTGTATAATTGTTTTAAATTTCGTATTTTGTTGTCTATCAAACTTAAAAAAAAAAAAAAAAACTTGATGTACCCAGTAAGGCTATCTGGCTCAACCCTTCAGGATGATTTCCAACACTTATGCATTACGCTCCTCTCCCTACTCGTGCATGCTCTCTCTCTCTCTCTCTCTAATAAACAAATAACTCCTTAAAAAAAAAAGAGGAAGAGGGGAGCCTGGGTGGCTCAGATGATTGAGCGTCTGCCTTCCGCTTGGGTCATGATCCCGGGGTCCTGGGATCGAGCCCCACGTCGGGCTCCCTGCTCAGCGGGAAGCCTGCTTCTCCCTCTCCCTCTGCTCCCCTGATCTTGCTCTCTCTCTCTCCCAAATAAACAAATAAAATCTTAAAAAAAAAAAAAAAGAGGAAGAGATCCCTGTTCTCTCAGGAGGGTAAGTATTGGTTCAGAGGTGGTCATACAGAACTGTGGGAGCCTGATAAGGGGTATCTCGCCAGTGGTATCTTGGGTGTTATCTGTGGGGTAGGGTTGCCAGATTTAGCAAATGAAAATACAGGATACCCACTCAGATATGAATTTCAGATAAGTAACAAATAATTTTAATATAAGTATGTCCCAAATATTGCATGGGAGATACTTATACTAAAAATTATTTGTTCATCTGAATTCAAATTTAATTACTGAGCACCCTGTATCTCATCTGGCAACAGCACTACTGTGGGTGGTATTGATGAGGGAAACAAAGGCAAGAGAAATGTAGCTTAAATTAAATCTCCTTACAGCTTACATCCCACTGATAGATACCAGAAACATACAGAGCGTGACCTTACTCAAGGAATTCATGGCTGCCTTAGTGCCTTAATGTTTCCATTTTATTAAAGACTAAAATAACCTTATCTTTAAAATTTTTTATTTTATTTAAATTCAATTAATTAACATATAGTGTATTATTAGTTTCAGAGGTAGAGTTCAGTGAGTCATCAGTTGCATATAACACCCAGTGCTCATTACATCACGTGCCCTCCTTAATGCCCATCACCCAGTTACTCCATCCCTCCACCCACCACCCTTCCAGCAACCCTCAGTTTGCTTCCTATAGCTAAGAGTCTCTTATGATTTGTCTCCCTCTCTGATTTTGCCTTATTTTATTTCCCCCCCTTCCCCTATGATCCTCTGTTTTGTTTCTTAAATTCCACATATGAGTGAAATCATATAATTGTCTTTCTCTGATTGACTTATTTCGCTTAGCATAATACCCTCTAGTTCCATCCGTGTCATTGCAAATGGTAAGCTTTCTTTTTTTTTAATATTGTGTGTGTGTGTATACACCACATCTTTATCCATTCATCTGTTGATGGACATCTGGACTCTTTCCATAGTTTGGCTATTGTGAACTTTGCTGCTTAAACGTTGGGTTGCAGGTGCCCCTTCGGATCACTATGTTTGTATCCTTTGGGTAAATACCTAGTAGTGCAATTGCTGGGTCATAGGGTATCTCTATTTTCAACTTTTTGAGGAACCTCCATACTGTTTTCCAGAGTGGCTGCACCAGCTTGCATTCCCACCAGCAGTGTAAGAGGGTTCTCCTTTCTCCACATCCTTGCCAACATTTGTTGTTTCCTGACTTGTTAATTATAGCCATTCTGACTAGTGTGAGGTGGTATCTCATTGTGGTTTTGATTTGTATTTCCCTGATGCCGAGTGATGTGGAGCATTTTTTCATGTGTCTGTTGGCCATTTGTATGTCTTCTAAAAGTAACCTTATCTTTTTTTTTTAAGATTTTTTATTTATTTATTTGAGAGAGAGAATGAGATAGAGAGCATGAGAGGGGGGAGGGTCAGAGAGAGAGGCAGACTCCCTGCTGAGCAGGGAGCCCGACGTGGGACTCGATCCCGGGACTCCAGGATCATGACTTGAGCTGAAGGCAGTCGCTCAACCAACTGAGCCACCCAGGCGCCCCTAAAAGTAACCTTATCTTAACAGCAGCTAGCCACTCAAGGTCCTGAAAGCCTTGCTTCCAAATTCCTTCAAGACTTACGCTATCCCTAACCCCCACTAATTAAAAACTATATAATCAGTCACTCCTCACAATCCCAGTGCAGCTCTTTTTGCCCACAGGTCCTGTCCCCATGCTATAATAAAATCGCCTTTTTGCACCAAAAATTTCTCAAGAATTCTTTCTTGGCCATTCGCTCACAAACCCAAAAACTTCCAAATTTCATCATCAAGTAGTGCATTGTTGCTGGAAAGTACAGTGTTATACAGACTGAAGTCAGACAGCAGGTAGCAGACTATGGAGAGCACTGAAAACAAGGGGAAACCACTGAAAACAAGGGGAAACCACTGAAAGGGTTTAAC